ATGGGAGTGTGGGGGGGTCCTTGGGGCATGTCCAGAGCAGATCTTGCAGGAACCGCCGAGGATGCGCCGGCCGCGGTAACTTTGGGCCCCTGCGCATGCGAGAAGTCAATGGGGCTCCGAGTTTGGGGTTCGAGTCCTACTCTTTGCTGCGGGACGGCTTAACCTCCCCGTGCCTCGCTTTCCTTTGCTGCAGAATGAGATTGACATCGCTAACCTCCATTGTTACTACATGATGCACCTCTAAAGTGGGTGGGTCCCTAAGGTTTCTCCTTCGATCTCCCACCCGCTTTACCCATGCACCCTATTTACAGAGCAGACGATGGAAGCTCAGAGAGGGCAAGTCATTTGCCCTGGATTGCACAGCACTAGGGGGAAACCAGATGCCAGGCATGACTCTGAGACCGTGTTCGTCCTATTCGTTTGACGCCCTGGTTCATTGCGCTACGTGCAAACGAGATGAAACGGGCCGGTAGGAATTGCTTATGGTGTCTTCCGCACCCCTTTCCCTGAAAGATTGACGAGATCACCTCCTGGGTGCAGGTGAAGTACCTGAGGCTCGCCAGGGGGAAGCATGCCCCCCCAAGTCCCAGCAAGTGTGGCCTTCAATCCATTTGGTTGGACTCTGGAGTCCTAACTCGGAGCCCTAACTCAGACCCCAGAGAGAAAGGGCTGGAAACTGGCCCAGGATAATTGACACAAACCATAAATTAAAGTATGGAAAAGGAAAAAGCAGGTGAACCCTTAGGTCTTAGCGATAGTAGGAGGATCACTTGGTCAAGCAGAGTAGCAGGTGTTCAGTTACATTAAGTGGCTTCTCCCTGCAATAGCTTGGAGGTGCCCTCCAGCGAGGGCGGGGTCTGACTTTGGGGTCCTGGGAGATTACTCTAAAGGAAGCAGTTGCCACAGTGACCATTGAAGCTGCCATCTAAAGGTGGCAGGATTTCGTGGCCAGCAGGTGGGCGTGGTGGTTAAGGGTGCTGGATTCCCACATGACTGTCCGTGGTTCCTGTCCCAGATCTGGCAGCTTGCTTTCTCTCCTGCTCCTTCTCTCTCTCTCTCTCTCTGGTCAAATTTTAAAATAATAGTAACTGGGACCAGCAGTTAGCGTAACGACTATGTTGCCGGACTCCCACATAGTCGTCCGTGGTTCGAGTCCCGGACCTTGTGGCTCAAACTCACGCCAGGCACTTGTGCATGCATGCCCAAGATCCCGAGAGGAGAATGGAGGAGGAGGGATTGCTGAGTGGAGAGGAGAATGGAGGAGAAGGGATTGCTGTGTGGCCATCCCCCCTGGGGGGTGATTTCTCGCTTTCTGTCTCTCTGTCTGTGTCTGGCGAGCGCACGCACCCTATAGCAAAAACCTCTCCAAAAAAAATTAAATAAAATAATAACAACAGTAAATAAAATTAATAATAATAAAAAGATGGTAGAATTGGGGCCAGCAGATGGGGTAATGATTGTGTTGCTAGAGTCCCACGTCGCGACTGCAGTTCAAGTCCTGGACTCAGCGGCCTAAATCTCATGCCAGCAGGTGCGTGTGCGTGCGTGCCCAAGATCTCGAGAGGAGAATGGAGGAGAAGGGATTGCAGCATGGCCATCCCCCCTGGGGGGTGATTTCTCGCTTTCTGTCTCTCTGTCTCTCTCTGTCTTTCTGGCGAGCACACATGCCCTATAGCAAAAACCTCTCCAAGAAAAAAAAAGAAGAAAGAAAAAGAGAAAGCAAGCTAGCAGGTTTTCCAGCTCCAGCCCTTGTCTCTAGCCCTCCACGCTCTCTTCCTGCGTTGCTGGTGTCTGCTGGCTGCTGCTGCTTCCTGCTGGGCCAGCCTGAAACCTGGGAGTCATCCTGGAATCCCCTGCCCTCCCACAGCTGATTAGTCAGAAATTCCTCCTAAGTCACATTTGGAGGAGGCGGTCTGTTTGCACGGGGCCTGTGCACCCAGCCCGATAGACTCAACCAATGCAGTTGAATCCCAGTTACTAAGCTTCAGTTCATTGCAGGAGAGCAACGAGCCAATTCAGCTGGAACCAATTAAGTTGTCTCGCTATACCTCATTTCTCTTCTGTTTAAACGGGGACTTTTTTTTTTTTTTTTAGTATTTATTTACTTTTCATTTTATTTATTATCATTATTCTTCCATTTTGACCGGAGACGGACAGACAGAGAGAAAGGGAGAGTGAGAACGCAAGCGGCCAGGTTCGGGATTTGAACCATGGTTAGTCATGTGGGAGTCCAGCGTCTCAACTGTCATGCCACCTGCCAGCCCCTCATTTCTCTTTTGTTATGACTATTGCCCGATGAAGTTGCTGGCTGGAGTCCTTTGAAGGTGTTCTCAGGGGGCTGCCTGATTCTCAGATCATGAATAATGCTTGATTAAAATATTCTGAGGAGAATCAGCAGTTAGCATAATGGCTATGTCGCTGGACTCCCACGTAGTCGACCGCGGTTCGTGTCCCGGACCCGGTGGCTTAAAACTCACGCCGGGCGCATGTGCGTGCATGCCCAAGATCCTGAGAGGAGAATGGAGGAGAAGGGA